GTGTCGGTCCACAATAAGTATTTAATCTTTAAGCCGTAAGAAATTGACCAATCATAGTCGATTATTCTTTTCATATTAGATTATAATTTGGTCAATTTTTACGTCTTAAAGCTTAAGTCATCTATTGTGGACCGACACTTAGAGAGTGTAAAAGATTGTGACGTAAAAGACCATCACGCATAAACATGAGCGCATTTTTTTTCGTTATCATCCATTATTGCCAATTTTTGATGAATTATTGATACATACTGAAATAAATTTAAGTAAATTATATGTATTGATTATTTCATTCCTGGCTACAAAGCGCTTTATTTTTATATTTGTGAAATAACTATGATCTTTTCGATTTGACATTATATGGAATCTCATTCATTTCAGGTGAGTATAATTCCTTTTCTCCTTCAAGGAAAACTTCTTTTCCTTTGAAACAAGCATGATGCTTAACATCATCTAATGTAGGAATAATTCCTCTATGCCGACAAAAGAACATATCTGCAATAAAAATTAATCCAATAGAATATGTACTAATATTGAAAGATATCTATTAGATTCGGAAAAAATTAACGGAGACCGACTGGATTTGAACTCGGGATCCCTCGTCTACCAATCCGACACTTAGTCTGCACGACCATGACGGCTCCTCTCTGTTAGCTGTTTATATTCCGAATCTCTTTCATGACCGCTTACGGTCGTCTAATTCTTACAAGTTCTTACAGTTCGGCCATTCTGGTATTACATTCGTCCCGAATGTACCGAGTCTTCCTCTATCGGATTTTTATCCGAAACTTGGAGCTTCTGCTCCCGACCTCGATCACTTTCTTGAACGACCGACACGACTCCTTTGGAGTACTACTCCGCGACTTTTTTCCCGTTCATTTCTCTTGAACGACCGACACGACTTTGGAGTACTACCTCCGACTTTTTCCGTTCACTCCTGAACGATCGACTTGTCAGGTAACATAGGCTGAATCTTCTCTGAGGTAACATAGGCTGAATCCCACTTCTGAGATTGAAAGATATCTATTAGATTCGGAAAAATTAACGGAGACCGACTGGATTTGAACTCGGGATCCCTCGTCTACCAATCCGACACTTAGTCTGTACGACCATGACGGCTCCTCTCTGTTAGCTGTTTATATTCCGAATCTCTTTCATGACCGCTTACGGTCGTCTAATTCTTACAAGTTCTTACAATATGTAATAATGGGTCAAATACGTAATATTTTTAAACTTATATAGTTCTTTAAATAAAAAAAAATTGAATATTGATTACCTAAGAATTCCGAGTTCGGTACTACATTATTCGAACGCGACGAAGGCTTTTTTGTCAGATAAAGAATGCGTTTCGTTTCTCGCATGATGCACATGATGTATCATTTATCCTTAAACTATTAAACAAGGATAAATGATGCATTATGCGCATTATGCAAGAAACGGAACGCATCCAATAATGACCGGAACGTATATGTTAGTACCATACTTAAAAAAATAATTTTGCTCGATATTGGCACTATTGATGTCCACGGCCAAACACGGCCAAACTTAAGCCAGCGGCATACGATGCTTTTTTTCTTGCTGATTTGCTGGATTCGCATGTTTATTGAACTCTTATCTTCGATTGATATATTTTTTTAGATCCAAAAGAATATACCAAGAGACAAGAACTCAACGAATACGCAATCCAGCTAGCAAATCAGCAGGAAAAAAGTATCGTACCGCTAGCTTTAGGATCGAGCTTGTAGATGTTCGCAGTGTCGTTCTGTGTCTCTCTGTGTCATAGATGGAAACCACCAGTGTAGACACTGTATTACACAGTGTCACCTGTGTACGTTGTTTGTTTGTGGAAAGCACTTACTATAATCAGAGACTGGTCACGAAAAAGCAATTTTTTATTAATCCGTCATCTTTTGGCTATTTCCACTTATTTTCAAATTTTCAACACATTAACTACATTAATCTTAAATTGTAATATTATACTTTAAAAACATAAGCATTTTAAAGATAATAAAATATGTATATTTATAAAACTTTATTTTACATAATTATATTACCAATTTTTAATATATCCTTTAATTTTAACAATTTTAAATTTATTTATTTTTTTCACTATTTATTTTTTTCAACACAAGAGCAAAAATTAATATAATATTATTATATTACTGTTACACTATAATATTTTTAACTTCTTGATACACAATTGTCAAAATAATCCTCTGTGAAATCAATATATTGACAGCTATTCACAAAGCATTATTAGCGCAGCGAGAGAACCCATCACGGGAAAACGTCAACAATAAACTTCGAGGAAATTTCAAGAGATGCAAGTATCAATGTCATGCCTTTTTTAAATAGGATTATTATACATATTTATTATTATTATAAACAAACTTTATTACAATATAAAATAAAATTTAAGTAAAAAAATAAACATCCACCTATTTTTTATATTGATTTATCATAATTAATTAAAAATTTATCACAATTAATTAATTTATAACTATATTTTGCAATTTTAGTATCTCTATTATTTAATAATATATTATCACGTTTTCCACGTGTTTAATACACATGCACAATACACTTAAATCAATGCACATGCAAAGTAAAAAATATCGCTATTAGTAGATTGAGATAATGTATATTTCTTTCACTCTAATCAAACACGTTATTGATTAGAGTAAGATGGTATATTTTTTTCTTTCTCGTAGGATTTAGCCAAAATGGCGGATCAGAGTCATGGCCAGTCTTTGATTGTAGTGTCTCTATTGCTGCCCATCTTATATACAGAGCTTTCATTTCTCTTAACATATGAGACAAAGGATACTTTCCAGCTACGGAACACAGTGATACAGTATGTGTAACACAGAGGTTGTGTTTCGATACTGCCATACTGAAATCTATAATATACGTGACCTAAACTATATATTTTCAGTATTGGCTACTTAGCTTTTTTATTTCACTATCAAAATACAGGACAGTCATTTAAGGAATTTTTTTTAGTTATACTAATTCTCTTATACTAATAAAATCATCGATCTTTAATGACTTTGTATATTGTAACAAATTACATTAGCTTATTAATTTATATCGAATAATCGATTAAGATCGAATACAACGATCGTATAACGTACGAGATAAAACTATTAATCCATACTTTACAATTGCATACATTTAGTTCAGCTATATATAAAATAATTGTCATTAAAATCATATAAAATAATTGTCATTAAAATCATTTAGTTCAGCTATATATAAAATAATTGTCATTAAAATCACCCTAATAGAAGTTCATTATGTCTAAATATTACACAATGTATACAAATCTATAGAAGCGTTGAAAGATTTATATGATGAATGTGTTTTGAATGCATTTAAAATTGACATTTCATATTTGTTTTTATAATTTTATATATTTTTATAACTATGAGTAAATAATTTATTGAAGTCTATTATAATGAATTTTGAAAAGAATACATGAAATTTTTTATTTTACTTAAAACGGTTACACGTCTGTCCGCTCGCTCTCACGGTTTTGCAGGATAGCATCAGTCGGATGGAAGAGAGAGAGTATCGATAGAAAATAAAATATAGAAGAGAGTTTAGATAATATGTACTATGTGATAATATGTAATATGAAGAGAGTTTAGATATATGTACAAGTATATATAAAGATTAGAAACTATTTACAACTACTGACTGGTTTTTACAATCTTTTAGTTTTGGTTGTTATTTACAATATATACATGTTTAAATATGATTTCGGTTCTCGTTCTTGGAATCTCGATCGTTGTTCGTCGAAAATTCTCGCGAATTTCGGGAATCGTACAATAGCTCGACTCGCAGCTTTCCGAAAATTCGACGCGTCGCGATCGTGGGCGCGCGAGGGGATTTCGTCGCATGTAGCTTAATCGCGTTTGCCGATCAGCTATTAATTATCAAAGTCTCGTGACAGTTTTTTCGAACGGATTTTCGGGCTGGAATAGGACTTAGACTTTGCTGCGGCTTGGAAACGGGGAGCTCCCTGCTCTATCACCAACAGCGACGGATCTTGCACGCAACGGCCTACTTCGGGGGCCAAGCTAAGAAGCGCCTTAGTTTGAGAGAAAGTTTGCGTGCTTGGGGATGGGAGCGATCCGCCAGAAGCTCCTGACTTTCTAGGTAATGTCTTGGAATCGCTTACTGGACAAGTACTCATCCAGATCAGCATTGGACTGATTGTTGTCTCGCCGAGAACAAGCCAAAATCACCTGTCGGAGTCAGTTAATATACTCGAATCGGCCGTAAATCGGGAAAAATCGGGTAAGGGTCGGGGCACACAAAAAAACTTAAGTAATAAAACTTAAGCAGTAAGGAAATCAACGTTGTGGATTTGCTACTGTTTATGTTACTGCCTTACGTTCTCGACTGTGATTGACTAATTCGCTTACTGCTTAAGTTTTGTTGTGTGTTACGGCCCTAACAGGTTGACCGAACTCGGATTTTGGGGCTGACTCTGCCGGGGATAATTCTGCCGAGAGATTTGCGAGATTCGCCAAATGGGCTCGATTCCGCGGATACATTCGGTGATACGTCGGTAGCCCAACGCGCGGACTATTATGATACACGCGTTGTTCACGTGAAGTTTCGCGCTGGTTACTCTATGCAAATCTGCCGACAGTGGGGGATTCCGGAGAATCTAATTACGGAGGGATAATTTGAGCGTGTCATACATTACATACTTAAATAAAATGTATATAAATGAAAGATAATTATTATAGTAGATAATTATAATATTCTGCTAAAATTTATTATTTTCTCTCATATGTCGTGTGCATATAATATATGTGTGTATGGCGTGCGGACATGCGTCTCTATATGTGCACAAATCAGGAATTAGCCAGATACATCTTGTTGTGTGACAGACTTCTCTCTCCCTCGACGTACCAGTATATCAGTGTAAAACATATTGAAGTCAAGCCTAAATCAGATATATCATTTAGGAAATTAAATAATTATTTATATAATTATACTAAAAAACAGAAAAGAAGGATGTGTACAAATTAAAATGAATATAAAGTGAATTTAACTAGATTTCTCTTAAAAAATTTAACTAGATTTCTCGTAAAAAATTCACTGTCTTTTCTTTATAAATAATTTTATAAATTTGTCTATAAATATGAGTATAGGATACTTTTTAAATGTTAAAATAAATATTCAGCATATGTATTAAACATACAAATTGAGTTAACATAATTAATTCTAACGTTACAATTGAGCATAATTAATTGTCAACATTATTTTGATTTATTAATATATGTAAAACAAACACATTATTAAAACAAAAATTTATAATGTATCTTTGTTAATTTTTTAAATTTAATTCAAAATTTTATTTTATTAATTTTATAATAAATTTTCAAATATTCTAAAATAAAATTGTTTAAAAATTACACAAATAGAACTCTTACCGACATAGCACATTAAGTAGTTTTTCATTGTTATTATCACAACCCAAATCACAGATTCGATCTAATAGTCGTATTAATACTTTAGTAAATTTCTTATCTAATGATATAATTATTTCCTCAAAGCTTCCTGTTCCATCTTTCGCCACAGAACTATTTTCAATCTAGTAAAAAATATACTCAATTAATACATTACAAACATGTGTGTACATATATGTGTACATTGCATAAACACATACATATATGTGTACATTGCATAAACAAAATTAAGAAACATTTTTTTAGAATCAGTAAAAATATAATACATGGTATTCCATTTGAAATCTCTTGTTTTTAATAGTTTTGTAAAAATAGTAATCCCCGTTATTCTGAGTGATGTGTGAGATTTTCATTACTTACTTCTTTAAATTCTCATCTAAATTTTTCTATTACTCTTCAGCGTTTTCGCGAAATTGTTGTCAGTAAAATGAAAAATAACGTTATCACAAAAGAAAACGTAAGTAGTTTGATAAGTAGTCTGGTAAATAATCAAGTTTAAGTCAATTATTTTGATGCAGCGAAAATTTCGACCGAATTAATCAAAAGACACCAAAATTAAAGAGAATAAATAATATAATATAAACCATTTCTAGACACTAAGTTCATGCAGAAGAAATATGGAAGAAGCCGACAAGGTATCTGCGATGAAAAAATGAAAAGCTGGTGCTGTCTTCTGATAAATTCAATGAAATTCTCACTGCATTAAAACAATTGACTTAATCAATATATCAAATTGTATTTTGTACCTTTTCTTATGATGACGCATTTTTTCATTTTACTAATAATAGCACTGCAGAAACGCTACAGAAATCAAAAGTTCAGGCAGAAACTTAAAGAGATATATAATGAAAATTGTACACATTACTGAAATAATGTGACTTATTGATTTTTGCGAGATTATTGAAATCAGGGCATTTCAAATGGAACATCCTGTTCAGGATAGAGAAATAACGTGTTTATTTTAACAGTTACTTTTCTCCACTCCGATAGCATAGAAGATTTTAGTTGCAAACATTTCAATGTCTCAATTGATGTGCAACCTTTATTTTTTATTGGATATCATATGTTTATTTATTTTTGTCTAAATATTTTAAAAAAATAGAAAGTAATAATTTTATTTCTTTTAAGTAACAAGTTACTTTTTAAAAGTAACTCGTTACTGATTTAAAAAATCAGTATAATAAATAATAATGCAGCAATAAACTGTTATCAATTATAGCCGTCTTTTTTACAATTAAATATAAAAATGTAATCAATCTTTTTTATCAATGTTTTCTCGTAATTAAATATAGCTAACGATGTAGGAAAATATATAAATATATGAGGTAATACAACTTGTAATTTTCTAACCTAGAAATAAAAGCTATTTTATAATCAAAGAACATTCTAAATATAAATATAAATACATATATATTATTAGAAAACTACAACATAACATTTTATATATATGAATAAATTGCTTCACATCCTAATTTTTATACTTATTTCGTTTTCAACAGATATCTTCGCATAATACATATAGAATTGATTAATAAATATATTTCTATTATCCACTAATAGAATAAAAATTTAAAATAGGACATAGAAATGTGATACAGTCAGTTTCAAGATACAGTCTTATACAGAAGGAGAAAGAGAGAGAATTAGAATGTGTGATGCGCATACTGTTGTGTTTCAATACAGACGCCTCACATAAGCATCCAAGCAGGGATGCCAGGCATCCCTGCACCCAAGCGTAACAATGAATTACGTCGCCCCACTTTTTGACTCGTGAAATGTTATTTCTTTTTTATAATTTAAATGCTAAGTCCTGAACGAACTTTTACCCAAAAAAAAGTCATTTCAGAAAACGTAGAATATGTCTCTTAAAACACAAGTAATTATTTTCAATTATCATGTATAATATATCATATAATGTTAAAAGATGTTTTCTCAAAAATTATTGAAGGTAACAAGAAACATTTTTTGTACAGTTTTTATAATTTAACTCGTTAAAATTCTTTAAATAACAAAGTGTTAGTTAGTTCCTCCAAAAAGAAATTAAAGAAACATTTCATTTTTTTAAATAAAATTTTTTTTACATAATATAATTCCTCTAGTTATTCAGCATACAAAAATATTAAGGTAAAGTAAAGTAAATTGAAAATCAGCAGATACAGGATTACAAGGTTACAAGACATTTATATGTTACAAATACTTATATACAAGGTGTTCCATTTTAACTTTCGCATCGAAATATCTCGTAAAGTATAATAGGCTTTCTACAATAAGCTATTAGTAATAAATCATAAGTCAGAGGCTAAGAATTGACCAATCACAGATTGAATATAACAAGAATACTCGACTATGATTGGTTAATTCTTATTTTCTGACTTATCACTTATGGCTTATTGTAGAATAGCTTTATAAGATACGGGAAAATGTTTCAGACAAAAGTTTTATGACTTCTGAAGGGAGACATAAGAAGATACCATTGGTTGGTTTGACTTTAAGTGGACGTACTAAGGTCATATACAGATCAACTTTGTTTTTTAAATAGAAATCTCCATTTTTATTACGTATTCTCGTAACTGACCTCGAGAGCTCTTCAAAACTTCAAAACACTATAATAAACTATTTTGGTAAATACTTTTTGAGTTATGAGACTTGAATTTGATATGCAATTTGACATAAAGTATAAAATATCTCGTAAATTATTCATTTTTTGACTATTCAGTTTTAGTGTTTTGAAGAGCTCTCGAGGTCAATTACAAGAATAAATAATCAAAAATGGGAGTTGTTATTTAAAAAAATAAAATTAACTTCTATACAAACTTGGTATGTTCACGTAAGGTTAAACCAATGGTATCTCATCTTATGTCCCCTCGAAGATAAAATTTTTCTGAAACATTTTTCCGTATTTTTCTTTTATATTTTACGAGATATTTCGATATGAAAGGTAAAAATGGGACACCTTATATACTGTACTCTGGCATATTTTAATATAAAATTTCTCATATAAATTATTAATATTTGAATAATTCTACTTTAATATTTTTATATTCAAATTAACTAGAAGAATATAACTAGAAGAATTGTAAAATCATATAATTCTGTTTACAAAAATAACGATGATCTTCATGCAATATTTAAACGGCTATCAACCAATAACATTGCTATATTTTCCTTAAAATCATAAAACTTTTATCTAATAACGGGTCTAGTAGCATTTATTCTTCAAGGATTTTTTAATATTTAGGTTTTAATGAGTTTAACATATGTTATAATACTATTACTAATTATTAGTAAAATTACTCGACGCAACTTTTAAGAATTTGCGAAAAAAATTAGTTTAAAATTTCTGGTGTTTCCTGTTTACATCGAATTGAAAAGACAAGTTTCAATAGTAACATAAAATGTACGGACTAGTAAGCTGAAACGATATGGATTCAATTATAGATTCAAATTCAACTTCTTTTTTTTTTAATATCATTCATTTTCATTTTTTTTTAAATCTACATTTGCATAAGCAATTATATTTTTAATAAAATTATAATTTTATTGTATATTTATATTAATGGACAATAGTAAGGCTAATGAAAATCTACGAGAATCCGTAAACGAAGCGCAAATTATATTTCTAATTTTAACTCAGTTTATTAATAAAGTTTATAACTGACATCAAGATCTTTTCGAAACACTATAATGAAACACCTTTTGATTAAACTTTTCGAGAAATAAATTGCTCAAATTTAAGTATTGTCGGCATTAGCAAATTTACCAGCAGGTGATTTTGGAAATTTCGCACATTAAAAATCTCATTAGTGAGATTAAGAGATATGACCTCTTGAGCCGCCTCCTACCACCGCGTAGAGATAAAGATGTCAAATTGCAGATGGAACTGCACGCTAATAGCATATGATAGGGATTGATGGGAATACGCTGCGACTACGATAGGAATAAGCCAGAAACACGCTGTTGTTAGGAATTCGCTATAAGTGCCTGTAATGCTATTGGTGAGGACACGCTACTAAACGCCGGCAATACGCTGGGAATAAGTTCGTAACCACTGTCAACACGCTGCAATCTGGCATCTCTAATGATAGACAGCTGAGCTTCATGCTCACAGCTTCTTCTCTTTTAAACTTTTGTAGAATTTTCCTAATCAAATAATGGCTATGTTGTTGCGAAAAGAAAACATATTTATCTGTTGATAATGAAAGAATACGGAGATAAAGAAAGAGATATATGATCTCTAAAGCAACTTTTAAAGTTGCGCGAAATCCAATTTCAAACTTGAGTCATAAGAACGATTCAATTATATGCAAAATTTAGTTCATGAAGATTTTAACCGGAGAATGAAATTTTGTAAACTTAGTTATAAATTATAATCGTATCGTCATGCAAATTAAATAACTGTCGTAATTTATGTTAAATAAATCAGTTTTTCATAAAACGGATATTTCAAAGTAACTACTAAACGCCGGCAATACGCTGGGAATAAGTTCGTAACCACTGTCAACACGCACACATGAAAAACTTCGTCCAGTGATCTTATTCTCATTCTATATTCTTAAAGCGGAACAAATCCGTAAGATTAATTTGTTGTATCAGAAGATACAATATGGTTATTCATTGAAAATCTTTTTTTTCCAACTTGATACATTATATGGGAAAAACTTTAAAAATTAATTTTTTTCGCAAATACTTCAAAATTGCATCGAATAACCTTGTCATTAATTTCTGGGAGAGAATATTTGTAACAATAATCATTGTAACATAAACATAGATCAAGTTCGATGGAGACAATCCTAGTACTCTTCTTAAGAATGTCAGATAAGCCCAGATATTTTTTGATATATCATGATATCAAATTTAGGAAATATTGTAGCAATTTCTAATTGGACATTTTATATATACACTTAGCAATCACGTGTTCTTAACAATATAATAATGACCTCTAAAAAAATGTCTTGATTTAAAAAAAAAAAATGCTTCATGATTCTAGAACTACAAAGATGCATTCTGGCGAGCTTACAGCTTTAAGAATATACCTCATAATGATAGACATCTTCCTGACAGGCACCAATCATGGATGTTAATTCAGCATCAATGTAGTAACAGCTCATATGCTTAACATTAGTAAAATATCAAAATTTAATATATCAAACTGTCATCCATTATAATTTCCTTTCCTGTTATGTATTTTTATCATTGTTTGTTTTATTGAATATTACTAGCGTTATTTTTAAAAATAACTTTAGATTAATAAATGATTTCAATAAATAATAAATGTGATTTCAAAAAAAATTTAGCCAATCCAATGGAAAAAAAGTATTGAAAAAATATGCATAAATTATTAATATAAATTTTTTGCACAATTTTTTGCTCTATAGTTTTTACAAAATTGCTATAAAAGGGAAAACATAAGGCCTAAAACACTGATATTCAAAATGTATTAATAATGTAATAATAAATAAAGCAGTGTAATAAAAGATCCCGCACAAAACCAATGTTTTTGGCCCTCTGTGAAATTGGCTGAAATTTTAGTATGTTATATATAGTTCTTGACTTACTGATCAAATTTCTTTAGGCACAAAGCTTAAAAATGGCTAATTTTTTTGTTACAGCATTTGAAATGTTGTATTTTATCATTATTTTTGTAACATTGCAAATCGGTTTTTTATAATAAATCGAAAGATTTTAAATAATAATATGAGATTTACCTACACATTTGAGAAAGATTTATGTATATATGTGTTTGCCTATATGTATTTGCATGTGTGCGTATTTGTATGTGGGGAAGAGGGCTAAATAGTATGTTATTATTTAGCTCCAAAAGCACATGTTTTAAAATGTTGGAGTAACACGTACTAATTTTCATCCACTTATTCAGCATACATGCATGCACGCACGCACGCACGCACGCATGCGCG